ATTATCGCTGTCAATTGCATGGCCCATCCAACCTGAAGCACCACAACGCACACACTCTCCAGTTCGCATCGTTGCAGCATACAGCACTTTTGACAACCCCCCCCCTCTCTTGCGCATGCGCATCACATAGCCACACTATCCGACATCAACCCTACATCCACGATTCGTCATCCTTCCACATCAACAGCAATCAATCCAACGCTTACAACACACACACACACACACGCAACACACGCAACACACGCGCCACACACCCCACATGGCGTTATGATTGCGATTGGGACTGGGCAGAGGCGGCGAGCATCTCCTCCTCGCAGTCGCTCAGTTGCTTCTGCAGCAGCGTCTTCACGCGAATCCCGCACGAGATGAGCGCATCCAGCGCACGCCGGCCCTTGGCCAGTGTGGCCGCACTCGGCGCGTCGCGCCCTTCGCACCACGACTCGTACACCCGCAGCGCATGCACCACAGCCGTGTGCACGTCACCGCGACCAGACACGCCAATGTCGTCCGTGTCCCGCGCGTGTGTCGCTTCCGTCATCGTGCCGCTCGCATACGTGCACAGGTCGCGAAGCGCAGAGTCGAGCACGGTGATGCTTGCACGCAGCACGCTCCGGTCCACCTGCAGGTACGTCGTCGGCTCGTCCACCTGCGACAGGCCCAACCGTGATGTGCACTTGGCGGAGAGCGGCTTGTGCATGAGGTGTTCGTACAGGAGTTTGACGACCGTCAAGCCCGCCATGGATTGGAGCGCCTCCTGCACCACTGCCGGCTGAAGAATCGTCAGCACGCGCCTGTCCTTCCCTTCCGTCAGCGCAAGCGTGAGAGGGCGCACACCGCGGTTGTCGGCAGGGTTTGTGCGCGCCCCACTGGCCACCAGCAGCCGCACCACCACCGCCTTGCCGCGCTGGCACGCCAGATGCAGTGCCGTGCGCCCATCGAGCGGCGACGCCCAGTCGACGCTTGCACCAGCTTGCAGCAGCAGCGCAACCACGCGCGGGTGGGCCTTGGTCACCGCAATGTGCAGGGGGCGCGTCGCCCGTTCTGCAACGAGGCGCGGCTTGCCGGGCGAGATGAGCACATCCGCGCACGCGTTGGGGTCGGCACCAGAGGACAGCAGCAGCTGCACCATCTCCTCCTCGTTGCAGGCAACGGCCGTCATGAGCGGGGTGCGTCGCAGCGTGTCGTTTGTGGCGTCGGGCACGTGCCCAGCAGCCAGCATCAGCGTTGCACAGGGCACATGCCCCTTCTCGCAGCACCAGTGCAGCAGGTCAGCCGCCATCTCCCTGTTCTCGCGCAGACCGCACTTGACGGGGCCAACGCTGGAGTGGGACAGGGCGAGGTGCGCTGTGTCGCAGTCACCGCGCAGTGCCGCTTGGGTAAACGCCGCCTGCATTGCGCCGGGCACGCGCGCAACGAGATCAACCATGTGTGGGTCGCCCGTGATAATGCGGTTGAAATCACGCACGACACGTTTACTGCGCGCCGCTGCGGTGGCCAGGGCAGCGGCTGTGCCCTCGAGATGCGGGGGATCTGCACCCGCGCGAAGCAGCAGCACGAGCGCAAAAAAGTTGCCGTTCTGCTGGGCAAGCGTGGCTGGCGTGTCCAGGCTGGCGTGGCTGCAGGAGAGGAGGTGGTAGGCGCATGTGAGATAGCTGTTCTTGCGGACGGCGATGCGCAGCGAGTTGTAAGCTGCCGTCTCCTTTGCCCGCCACACCTGCTCCTGGCTCGCCACGTGCCTGCCGCGCTCCTCGCAGCCAAGCGCGCCCTTTTCCGCGCCGCAGCACGACCACCGCTGCAGGGTGGACTGGACATCCACCTGCGTGGCGTTGCACGACACGCGCACGCTGGTCTCGCCGGCAAGCTGGCCCGGGTGCACGAAGCACGAGCCGTCCATGTTGTCGCTCTCGAAGAAAGGATCCTTGCAGGCGGTGCAGTGGAGCCTGACGTGTCGCCAGCTGGTCGGCGCATCTGGTGACTCTGGCTGCAGGTGTCGCTTCACGGTCGAGGGCACGCTGATCTGGAACTCCACAAGCAAGTCGCCGTGTGTGTGCGTGAGCTTCTCAAAGTCACTCGCAGTCATGCGCTTGCTGCTGCTGCTGCTGCTGCTGCTGCTGCTGCTGTTCGTCTTGTCGTTACTTCTGGCGTTGTTACTGCTGCTGCTGCTGCTGCTGGTGGTGGTGGTGTTGTTGTTGTTGTTGTTGTTGTTGTGGTGGTGGGTCCCATCATGGTGTTGCGGCTGTTCTGCCTCCTTTGCTTCGTGTTGTGTCGACTGCGCTGCTGCTGTTGGTGTTGAAGTGCATGGCATGCCAAGACCAGGGATGGTGACAACCTGTCCTGGCATGACGCTGTCCATGGGGAGGTGGTGCGTGCCACCGGTGATGGTGGGGATGTCTGTGGTGTGCCCAAACAGCGCGCCAAGCAGCGGCACGCGCACCAGCACGTGAAGGTCGGCCCCTTGTCGACGGAACACGCTGTGCGGCTGCTCCTGCAGTGTGATGATGACGGGAAAGGGGTCTTCGCCGTACAAGTGGTTGCCGGCGCCGGCGAACGTGATCTGCGTGCCGTCCTCGTACCCGGCCTGCGCTTCCACCGTTAGCACAATCTGCTCCGTGTCAAACGTGCCGGGTGACACCTCCACATACCGCGTGGTCTTGAGCCGCTTCACAAACCCGTTGTACAGCTCCTCAAGCGTGACGGGCAGCGTCTTGTAGCTTGGCCCCGGCGTCACATGCGCGTGCTCTGCTGCACTAGCTGTGTCATGCGCTGTTGGTGTGCTGGAGGCGTGGTGGTGGAGGTGTTGGTCTTCGGGCCGACTGTCGTGTGTCGGTGGTGCTGCGTGTGGTGTGGCTGAGACGGGAGTGTAGGGGCATGTGGGCGGAGAGAGCGTGGACGACGATGTGGATGGTGTTGATGCTGACGACGATGAGCTGAACCGCCCAGAGCACGCGCCCGGTGGGGTTGATGGTGGTGGCTGCGCAGGATGTGTTGTGCTGTTGACGCCACCATCCCTGCGCGGTGAAGGCTGCTCCGACTTGGGGTGGGGACGAGGCGGTGAGTGTGCATGGCTGGCGGTTGTGGCAGTGGGCCGGTTGTGGCGAAAGCTCTGGCTGTGTTGTCTCTGTGATGGAGTTGCAGCTGTTGTTGACGGTTGTGGTTGCGGGTGCTGTGTGTGTGTTTGTGGTTGAGGTTGCTGGTGTGTGTGTTTTTGCTGTGTGCGTGTTTGTGGTTGCGGCTGTGACGCTGATGTGAAAGCGTGTGCGCTGTAGTGCAGGTTGGTGTCGTCGATGAAGCTGTGTCGCACATGTTCGCGAGAGGGCGGCATCCAATTGCCACCACCTTGCTGTTGCTGTTGCTGTTGTTGTTGTTGGTGTTGGTGTTGGTATGCTTGCTGCTGTTGCCGCCAGCGACGCGGGTCACGCATGGAGGTGGCACGTCGCCCAGAAAAGCTGTGGCGCTGCTGCTGGGGATGGTGTTGATGGGTGGCGGCAGCAGCAGCAGTTGCTGTGAACAAGTGCGTCTCTGGCTCGTGTGGCTGTGTGGGGGATGGCGCGTGTGCATGAGCGTGGGGCCGCGGGCGGGTGTATGACGCCTGCAGTTTGAGCGTGAGCAAGGCGTCCTGGAGGTTGAAGTCTGCGCGGTCGAAGAGCGGGTTGCTGATGATGTCTTCGACGGAGGCGTAGAGACCGTTGTCGTACACCTGTTTCCTGACGGGGTGCGAGAGCACTTGGAAGGCCTGCTTTGCCTCATGGAACTTGTCTGCGGCCTCCTTTGTGTTGTTTTTGTCTGGGTGCCATTTGAGGGCCTGAGCGCGGTAAGCGCGACGCAGCGCGTCCTCCGACGCTGCCGCCTCTGCCGCGCTGATCCCCAGCACAGCATACAGGTCTTTCATCGTTCTGCGTTTGTGTGTGTATGCAAGAGAGAGGGTGTTTGTGTGTTTGTGTGTGTTTGTGTACGTGTGTGTGTGTGTGTGTGTGCGTGCGTGAAATCGAGTGTGTATGTATGTGTGAGGCAGGGCGTGTGTGTGTGTGTGCGTGAAATCGAGTGTGTATGTGTGTGTGGGACAGGGTGTGTGTGTGTGTGTGTGTGTGTGTGTGTGAGGTGTGTGATACGTATTGAGCGATGGACGGGGTGGTTGGTTGGATATGGATTGGGTTTGTTGGCGATGGCTGATGTGGGTGCGTGTGTGCGTGTGTGCAGGTGTGCGTGTCACCGACAAAAGCGCAAAAGCCACCAACCAACCAACCAAACAAGAAGCAAGCAAGCAAGCCACCAGCCAAAGAAGCACACAGCCAAAGCAAGCCAGCCAGCCAGTGCTGGTGGTGATGCACCCCACGACGACCGTTACCGGGGAACAAGGTGCGTTGACAGGCCACGCACGCCCAACACTTTCAACACCCGCACCTTCTTTGCTTCTTCGCTGTTGTTGGCTTGGCGATGAACGTGGATGTTGGTGAATGCCTCAGCGTGGTGGGTATGTCCAGAGCAAAGCGGTGATGATGGGGCACATGCACGAACACCTCACCCAAGCACAACCAACACTCTCTGCAGCGGAGCGAGGGCTGGCTGGGTTGGTGGTGGTGGCGGTGGCGGTGGGAGTGTTTTGCGTGGTGATGAGTGACCGTTGTGCCTGCTTCGGCTTCTTTGTGGCACGAACACTCTGTTGCTTGACGAACAACAACAACGTTGGCAGCCTTCGAGTTTCAAGGCGGCGCCATTCAGTGGCGTACGGTGCAGGAATGTGACTTCAGACTGAAATCAGTCTTCAAGGTCATCGCATATAGCTACACCTTGTGGTGTTGGATACAGTACAGTAATCGACACCACAAAACGGGGTGTGCCACACCTGCCTGGAAAGAATTTTCCCTCAGTCTATTTTGCGTGCATGCACGACGCCCTGGTGATCAGCGCCTGGGTTTTTTTTCTCTCTGCGGTGGCTCGCGTGGTTGCTTCGCTTCTCTGCCTTTTTTGTATTGTGTTGTTGCGCATTTCCCTTCCCCTCCTTGTTCCGCGTCTCAGGTTGGTTGATGTTTGCTTTGCTTATGGCATCAACGTGGTGCACGCTTGTGCGGGTTGATGGCGCTGCATGTGGGTGGGGGTGTTGGTCTGTGTGGGTGGGGGTGGGTGTGTGCGTGCGTGCGTGAAGGGCGGGGAAGAAGAGACAGGCGCGCGCTCCCTCGCTGCGTTGCGAAAGAGGGAAGATGGGCGTGCATGCTGCGTGCGTGGTTGGCAATGAACACGAGAAGACCCCGTCGCGCATTCTCATCTCACTTTCTCTTGCTTGTTGTTGCTTGTTGCTGCTCCCATTCGCTGTTGTTCCTTTTTCGCTGTTCTCGTTGTTGTTCTCTTGCGTGACATCCTCCTCTCTCTGTCTGTGATTTAGTCTCCCAAGGACCACACAGCAAACAAACCAACAACCAACCAATCAACCAGCCATGGCCATGTCAACAAGCCAAAGCCAAGACCCCTCCCGGGTCCAGGATGCTGCCAGGACGCCCAAGCAGTGGGGTAGGTGCATGTGTGTGTGCATATGCGTTTGTTTGTAGGGTTTGCTTGTATGTGTGTGTGTGTTCGTATATGTGTGTATGTGTACGTACGTATATGTGTGCATGTGTATGTGTGCGATGGCGTGTTTCTTAGTCGAGCTTGCCTTCAATTCATTTGTTGGTTCCTCATGTCTTACGCTTCACACAAACACACAAACAAACACACAAACACACAAACGAACGAACCTCCACGTGCTGCAGGACAACTTCTGTTCTTCTATTTCTGCTTCTACGGCTGGTTGATCGCCTTCTTCGCCATCTGCTACTCTGTCATGTTCAGCACCCTCCCCGATCGCCGCTCCCCGCCCAAGCTCGACAACCTCATCAACCCTGGTGTGTATCTGTGTGTGTGTGTGTGTGTGTGTGTGGCATAGGTTGAGTGTTGGCAGTCATCACACACGTTGACGACTTAACACAGCACGACACACAACACACAGCACGACACACAACACACGACAAACACACACCACCCCCTCTCT